CAGTAGGCAACGGGTGAAGTGTCTTGCCCAAGGACACAACGACCGAGACTGTCCAAGCCGGGGCTCGAACCGGCAACCTTCCGATTACAAGGCGACCTCCCAACTCTTGAGCCACGATCGCCCCATGACCTATTTGTGACTGTTAAATTAAAAACTTATAAATATCAATTCTTGTTTCAGCAAGGTGACAATAAACTGACTATTTGGAACTAGCACAAGAAAGCTGGTCTTCAATCACTAACCTGTGGGTAGGCATACATATAATTGTGGTAGGTGCACAGACATTTAGGCAATATCCTGGTTCAGACATTTAAGTGTTTGACACTATGGTGTCAAAGTGTGAACCTCCTCCCTGTATACATCCTGTTTGTTGTCAGTCATGAGTCGAATGATCCGTGATGTCCATGTTATGGATGGATTGACAGTTATATGTACAGAGCATATAGAGGAGGATCGCAATGACTCTAGTGCTCATATTGAGGCTTGGGGTATTTGCTTGTCCAGCCTGACAGCCTGGGGGGGCATTTGGTGAGCTAATATAGCATCTAGTAACATATTTAAGTCAGTGCATGAACTTTGTCCAACAGCTTATTTGAAACAATGTCATTAAATGGCAAGCTGAAGTCCATGAAGAGCATCCATATCAAGTGTGTTTGTCTATGAGAGTAAGGGCTGTATCAAGAGCCAGAGAGTTAATTTGTTTCCTATATTTTATTGGTGTAAAGTTATTGCAACTGATAATGCTGTCTGATATGACGGGGTTTTCATCCTGTGACCAACCAGTCATATACTGTAGCTTACAACGAGGGTCAAAGGACAGAATGCACCTTATACATAAACAGTGGCTTGAAAGATAAGCAAATAAATAAATAAATAATAAGACAAGATATGGCACTGTTTCTGTCAAACATATTTGCCTCAATATTGAATTTTTTCCTGTCTTTCTTTCTTTTTTGCACATATTTGTCACATGCTGTATGTTTTTGATCGTGAAAGTAATTTCAATATTAGACACTAAAGTAAATGCAGAACACAAACTTTTGTATATGATGATTTAATTTAGTAAAGAAACAACAAAAAAACTATCCAACCCTGACCCAACGGAAAAAAAAATTATAGTCCAGCCAATCCAGAGTTTAAGTAGAATGCAATAATTTGACAAAAAAAAGTAATTTGTTCGCCATTTGTTACCATCTTTAAACCGGAGGCTTAATATAAGCCATATATACAGATATATAGAGATGGCACATGAAAAACTAAGTTTCATGACAATTTCATTAATTTAAAAAAAGAGCTAGCTTATTCATCAGTCAGAAAAAAGTACGTGTAAGTACTGTACCTATAAGTTTGGTAAGGTAGTGAAATTAAATTATTATGCTGTAGAAAAAATCAGCTGCAAGCGTCAGAGATTTCAAAATGCTTCCAGATTGTCCAGCACTGACTGCTTTAGCAAATATGGTCCAAATGTCCAGCGCACAGTTTCAATGTGTATGTGAAGTGCACCAGCAAAAAGTCTGTTGAAAAAGAACCTAAGGGCTGCCTGCAGTTTGCAAATGAATGAATCACTTAATCACTGTTTGAAAACACCGTATGACAACAGCGATGGATTATTTAGCAGGAAAGCTTTGACTGGCAGGAAAAGGAACTCTTAGGCAATGGGAAATATTTACGACATTTCTGCAACACTAGTTCCTAGGCTTCTTTGTCACAATATTATATCATGATTATTGCTACTTTTGTCATTTCTGTTTGTAAGGGTTTTCTTTTTATATGCTGCCATTGTCTTTAAGCTCTGCTACAAAAAAGGATAAAAAAAAAATCTGCTCAACCAAAATAACCAAAAACACCCAAATACATGTCTGCACATGTTCCTGCTTCTTATTTCTTGGAGGTTTTTTCTTTTTCTTTTTTAAGTTGTTCAAAAGAAAGAAGTTCTTGAAGAACAACTGCCGATTTTCTGAGAGAAATGAGTTTCATATCAGTGTCTGCATAAGTGTACACAAATTATATCTCAAAGGCTCTCCACCATAGTTAAATATTGTCCTATGCATTCTAATACGCAGAAATAATACACCGAGTTTTTTTTTTTTTAAGGTGTGGAATATCCTGGAATTTTAAGAGGTGTGTTCTTCTCTTGGATCCTTCTTTAGCTCTCTGACAGGTTTCATTGCAGGCTTTCTTTCTGTGCTATCTGCCCAACTCTACAATTATATATGCTTGAGTGTAAACAGAGATTAGGCAGTTTGGTTTGGCAGTTAGTTTG